AATCTGAGAGTGACCAGCCTAGTGTGACACAGCTCCCATGGACCTGTGTCACAAGAACACAGTGGCATTTCTGAAAGACTCCCGAGTGGAGTCTTTTTTGGGGGAGAGACTGTGAGTTTTTTTTGTTTTGGGCCAGACTGCCAAGCCGGTGTATATAAAGAGGCCTCTTTGCTCTTCTATGTTAGGGGCATTGGTATGAGTGAGGTGGGGCAGTTTTCTCTCACTTAGGTAGAAGGTGTTTCTGATCTTCTAAAGGTCTGAATGTTAAAGGTTGATCTTGGCTGAGTACAGAGGCTCATGCCAGTAATCCCAGCACTTTGAGAGGCTGAGGCAGGAGGATCGCTTGAGTCCAGGGGTTTGAGACCAGCCTGGGCAACATAGCAAGATCCCACCTCTACAAACAATAAGAAAAATTAGTGAGGCATGGTGGCACATGTCTATAGTCCCAGCTATTCAGGAGGCTGAAGCAGGAGGATGCCTTGAACCGAGGAGTTCGAGGCTGCAGTGAGCTATGATCATGCCATTTGCACTCCAGCCGAGGCAACAGAGCAAGAACCTATCTCTAAAAAAAAATAAATAAAAATCTTGATCTTAATATTTGTGGGGAAAGAAACCAAATAAATCAGTTTTGCCTAAGTATTAGATAAATCTTTGGGAAGGTAAAGATTCCAAGCTGAAATATTAATGAACTAGCCAATATGGGCCAATACATTAATATAATGAAGTTGGAGCAAGTCAAGAATTCTTATGTTGCTGTTCTTTTTTCCTTGTAGATCTGAGAAGCTAAAAAAATCTATAAAAGTTCACATTTATATCCATATCCATGCTAACACACAAAACAGTTCAAATTAATGGCTATATCTTAAGAGTTGCTATGAAACTTTTAAGCAGGTAGAAAATAGTCACTGTCATCGGTGACAGGCACCCGAGTCAGTGACATGTCATATGGTAGGACACCTTGCCTTAGGGTCCTGCCTGTTGGACCGTCTCAGCAAGGCACACATTAACGTGATATATAATATTAATGAACTCAAGAAGTTAATATATGCATACATATATATGCATTCCCCTGTGTATATATGCCCCATTTCTCATTCAAAACACTAAAATAACACAAAGTAACTAGTCTGTACTCTTCAAAAATACTGTTATGAAATACAAAGAAGGACCAAGGAACGTTTCCTGTTTAGAGACTAGAGACAACTAAATGCAACATGTGATATTGGACTGGATCCTGGTATCACGGTGCAGTGGGCTGGGCTGGGGGTGAGAGTTACTGTTATATAGACATTATTAGGACAATTGGCAAATTTTGGAAACTGCGTATTAGATGACAGTATTATATGAAGGTTTAAGTTTTGAATTGATCCTTGTGTTGTGGTCATATAAGAGAACATCATGTTTTAAATAAATACCTGCTGAAGTATTGAGATTTAAAGGGCCATGATATCTACAATCCACTCTCAAACATTTCAGAAAAAAATACTATAGACAGACAGCTATGAAGCACATGTGGCAAAATGTTAACAACTGGTCAATCTAAAATGAAAGGTATTCAAAAGTTCTTTGTACTATTATTATCCTAGCAATTTTTATGTAAGTCTGGAAACTTACAGAAGAGAGGCAGAAATAAATGAAAATAAAACTAAACTAAAATTGTTTATGTGAATGCAATAAGGTGAAACCAGCCTTAGCATTATCTACTTTTCTGCTGCCCAGTTAATTTTCCATTGCATGAGAGAAGACTGTACCCATCACAGGGTAGATGCTCAGTAAATTATTTGTGGGATTCAGAAAGATACGGCAAAGAGTGCAGTGAGATTCCTGATGTCAGTGTAGCTCTTACTGTCTTCCTTCAGCACTACCGCGGCGTGGCTTAGCCAGTTATCTGCTGAAGTTTGCTCTGAGTGAGGCCTGTCAATCATTTCATGACATCATGCTGGCCTCACTGGCCAGATGGCTTTGTTACCACACGTTGGGAAACACTTTCCCAGAACTGACCGGCACATGCCTTCATTCCAGAAGACATTCTCTCTCAAGATTATCTGAACGTGTTGGAACAAACCAACAAACAAATCCATTAAATACTCACAACCAGAAACCCCATATATTTTTTTTTGGTGCCCCCATTAGGTCCTTTCAGATATCATCAGTCATTTCTTGAAAATAAAGGGCATTTACTAAGAACAGTTTTGTTAAATGAATAAAAATAAAAATGACGGTATCCCCGACATCAGATTCTATGGGTCTGAAACCTCATATGGCAGATAACTGACATTTTACAAACTTTAATGGCATCAGCTGGAAAAAAATAAAAAAACCCTTAGGATTAAAAAAAGGACGAGGAAAACAAAGCATATGAACTACATGCAGACACGACTGCATGAGCCCAGTGGCCACGCCGACTTCAGTCTCAGCCGGGAAGGCATTAGCACATGTTAGTGGAACATGAGTTTTTGGAGCTAGCCGGATTTTGATTCAGATGCCAGTAACTCCATTAACCACCTGTGTGATCTTGGGCAAGTCACATTATTCCTCCGGGAGCTAGTTCTATCAGCTAAATAAACAATAGGAACAATAATACCTTTCTTAAATTATAACATGGCTGTGAGGATCCGTCAGTGCCAACTACCACAGACGTCTTGGCTCAGTAAATAGTAGCTCTTACTTATTCTAGTATCTTCACCACGACTGTGCAGGAGCTGGGCCTGAGAGCTGATTTTAATCATGCTTCTTTCACTAACACAGAGCTCCCTAAAGGCCTGGTGACCACAAATGAAGCCTTAACTCAAAGACAGTTGAGTCTTTGAAAGGAACAGGATTAAAGTAGGGTCTGTCCTTTCACGGTGGGGCACAAAGAGCTATTAGTCAACTCAGCAAATACGTCCTCTGTAAGTCAGCTCAACACGGTTGGGAGATCACCCAGAAGCACTGTGCTGAGTCAGGCTCCATGGGGACCTTAAACCTCAGTGACTCTCACCTGCTACAAGTGATCTAAGAGACAACCTAGGAGCAGCATTCAGGAAATCCATTACTGCCCCCTAGAGTTGAGCCCAGCTGTCTGAACATGATTACAGATCGCCCATGTACATTTCAAATCAATTTTCAACAAGTCCACAGTCACGGTAAGATCTGGAGTGTCTAGGAGAGACTGTGGTCTGGATTGTGTTATTGGGGGGATGTTGAAGAAAGAATAGAAAAGCAATCATTTTCTTATGTAGGTCCAAATGCTCTTGTCTGCCAATGTTTAATATCTGTTTCCTTCTTACTGGGGAAGGGAGTAGCATTACAGGCTGTGTGGCGTTGGGTAAGTAGGATGTGAATTTGGGGAAGTTAGTTGATGTCACAGGACTCACTCAGTTTTCTCATCTATAAACAGTAAGATCCACTTAGCAGTTTTGCTCCAAGGGTTCACTGAGCGAATGTGTGCAAAAGGCTCTTGCATGTAGTGGTGACTCAATAAACCTTAGTTCCCCTGTACACTGAATGTTAAGGGGGCCAAATGAGACAACCCTGTCCTTCTCCTCAACTGAAAGCCAAGAGAGTATTAGCTTTTTTAAGCATAAAAACATTAGTGTAATCCATTTAAAAGCTTGTTTTACCCCAGGGAATTGATACAAAGGAATCAATCTCCCCAATGGCTGCAGCTCCTGAAACATGAGGGGGGCTGCCGATGACCTGCTGTTCCCGGAGTAAGTTCTGGGAATTCATGCCGTTGGCACTGCAGCCCTCAGCCTCCATTGGGTTGGCAGCTTCTGTGTTGAACTTGGGCCTCAGCCAACGACTAAGCTCCAGCTTTAAGTGAGATCAGGTTAGAGTGTCAGGCACCTGACTTAGGGGAAATAGGATTTCCTCCTGTTGGTGTGGAGTGTCAGTTTCTGGCTTTAATAGATTCAGTGTACGTGAAGCTACATCATCTCCCAGTTTATACCTATTGTCTCAAAGTAATTAGCACCTTCTTTCATTCTCAGAAGTGACCTAGTTTGGACGACAAATTATATGGTCACCAGCTATGCCCATAAAAATGTAAGTGAAAGCAAGGTGGCTGAGCGTGATTCAGGGGCCAAGAAAAATTTTTTAAAATAAAAAGCTTTAGGGGATTAAAATTTGATTTGATTTTGCATTGAGGAACCAGTGCTACCAGCAGATTTTCACTTGGCTCGAGGAGTTGGTAATGATTAATTCAACAACTGTATCAATACGAGTACACCTACTAACAGGGGTCCTCTCCGGGGAAGGAAGAGGAATCTGTGTGTACATAAGGGAGAGGAAAAGGCAGTGGTGTGCTGATGGTGAATATTTAATAACCGGCTCTTGGGAACGAGAAGGGTGGATTGCTGAACATGGGAGTTGGAGAGGGATGAGAATAATAAATTCTTGTGAGCATGAAGGAGCTGGCCCAGCACACCACTGAAGAAATTGGACTTGAACATGTACTTTGAACCTTTTTGTAATATTTCACTTTTTATATGTATTACTTTTGTAATCATGCTGTATACATGTATATGTATATGCTCTCTTTCTATATACAGCTAGACCTAGATATATAAATATACTTATCTGTATCTATGCAAGGATTGGTCCTAATTGTGATTTTTCCTAAGTTTTGTATGAATCTCAGTGAAACATCCACTTGTGCATGTTAACGCACAGAGTGACCTCACGAGCCAGACTGCTGTGAGGTTGCAAGTGACTATCAGGCCAAGGGATGGAACGTTCACTCTATTGTTACCATGATTTACCCAGCTGGCTCACATCTGGTATAATAAAACATCTGGCCTCAGTGTTGAGGCAGAGGCTAAATGGAAAATTTGAAAACGGTTTGAGGGTTAGAGGATAAAGTAAAAACTAACTTCGGCAAGGAGAGGAAAGAAAAGGTTAAAGGTCAAATGATGAGAAAAATAAAATGGGAGAACAGAAAGTGTGAAGTTGCTGCTTATCAATTTTGATCAGAATCGAAGTGTGTCTCGGTAGCTTCTTGCAAGAGTGGGAGGGGAATGGGGAAGAAACAGTCTGTACTTTCATTTATTGAATGCAGCTTTCGTTGGTCACATTGCAACTCAATACAAACAGCCCAGCAGAGGGTAGGGCATTAACTCTGGTTCTCATCGATGTAAACACAACATTAATATTGAAGAGTAAAGAAAATGGGTAAAAAGTCCAGTGTCTCCTCGAGCTGCGCGGAGGTGAAGGTGCTTGCCTACCCTTGGACAGGTCCCAAAGGGAGACTGAGGTTGTCACTCTTCCATCATCCACAGTGAAGCAGGCAAGAACGCAGAGGACCTCGCACGTTCTTTCTGTGGGTTTTCAGACGGACGTGTGAATTTTCAGAACCGGGCTCGCACGAATTACTACAGTTCTTCCAAAGGCCTGGGAGGTTCGTACCTTTCCGCGAGCACGGAAACAGTCCCTTCGAAGCCCTTTCCCGTGACTCAGTCGCCACCCATAGAAAACGCGCCGTGTGTGAAGCAGCCAGCCCTCGTAATTACAGAGCCCCCACGGCAGCCCTGGGGCCTGGGCAGGGAGGAATTCGGTTGTGGGAGCCCCGGTGGCAGTCCTGCAGGAAGCCGCCCACATTCAGATACTGGCTGAAGACCCTCGTCCTCCTTGCTGGGCCACTGCTGATAGAGGGACGTCTGGTTGAGGCAGCTCACTTTCCTTTAGAGCCTTAAAGGATCGGATTTCCTATTTTGGATCGCCAGACCAAAAACAAATAAACAAACAAACAAAATCCCCCAAAGAAAAACAAATCAAAACGAAAACAAGAGTGACTTTGGGGATAAGGAACCAATCAACCCCACCTCCAGGCCCCACCAGATACAGTGTCCCCGTTGGGTTTCTCCAGCTGGTTGGTTCAGATCATTGATTTGCCCTCCCCCTCTGGATACCCAGCTAGACTGCAGGGCAAGAGAGAAAGTTTCCTCTAAATGAAGAGACAGTTTTGCTTTTATTTCCTGGGATGACCAACCTCCAGCACCCTGACTCCCCTTCCTCCCCAGCTATGACGAGAAACATAATTATTACAAAGCAATAGGAACACCCTAAAGCCCTGCCTTGGTGTTGTGGCTTTGCGGTAAAGGAATAACCCCTGTACTTCTGGTCCCCTCGCCATGTCCCCTTTCTTGAAGAGGCTTGTAGAGGTGGGCTGTTTTCCCACCCTTTGGGGACGCTGGGTAGGGGTGGAGAGAGGCTGGCTGGATCCTCGTCCAAGATCTCCGTAGTGAGTGCAGCTTTGTTGGGCCAAAGAGACAAATAAAAACAAACCACAAAGCACTGCTCGATTTCGGATTTGAAGGCTGGGCCCCAAACAGCGAGTGGCTCTTCCCCGGCAGCGTGTCTCTCCCTAGGGGTGGGCTCCTTGGTGCTAGCTGTTGTTCTCGGCCGTGAGATATTTCAGGGCAGCGAAGCCATAGCGGCGGGACATGTCCTGCTGAAACTCCTCCTTCAGGGTTTTGAGACAGATGCGGTATTGCTTGTTGGAACGGAACTTGGTGATGTCGAAGCTGGGGGCGTGAGGCATGTGGATCATGTAGGCGTTGGGCAGCACAGTGAACTCGTATTCCTGGAAGGAGGCAAGAGCAGCGTGAGCATTTGCAAGAACCCCCCGTGACACGTGGGGAAGGCCCAAGGGAACGGCTGAATGAACCAAGTGACTGAATGACCGGAAGAATGACACCGACACACAGGCCATCATCGCATGGACAGCATGACGGCTCTGGAGCAGGACAGTTCAGGGCTGTTCCCATGACCTTGGACAAGATACTTAGCTTCTCTGAACCTTTGTTTTCTCATGTATACAGTGAAAGCAATACTATCTACCTTGACAAATGACTGTGAGCACGAAACCAATGACACATGGACAGTGCTGAGCAGAGCTCATGGCCCATAAAAGGTTCTTGATAAATGTGAGCTCACACCCACGTGGACAATCTAGGACAAAGCAAGCCATGGGGTATTCTCTAGCTCAATCGATTGACATCTGTTTACATGATCCCTCACAGGACTTGATGAGATCTGACAGCCTCAACAGATTAGTGCAAAAGAAGAGACAAAAAAAAGAAGATGGAAGATGAAAAGAAAGAAGAAGACAAAAAAAGGAAGATGGAAGATGAAAATTAAAAAAAAAAATGTTTCATTAGATTGAAGCTCACCAAGGATAAAACTCTCCCCGATACGTGCTATTACAAGTGGCACCATCACACAGTATCCTCAACATGGCAGACCACAGCTAAATACTCACGCCAAAAATACAAGGCCTCTGAATAGCTGAAATAGGTGACATGAGTATAGGCCACGTAGCTCAGAGGAGAACCCAGCACACTTGCACTCACACGTAGTTATGCTGATTTTGGACATAATATCTCATAAGCTTGGGTCCTCTAGTTTCCCAGGCCAGACTCAGATAAGAATAAATTCAGAAAGGGAAAATCAGGATGGGCAAAAGTAGCTGTTACAGGTAGAAATATATAGACAGGAGCAAGAAATGACAGTTGCTGGTAAGGAATGAGTAAGAAAAAGGAAATGAAAAGAAAAAGATGAAAATGAAATGTGAGACCTCCCAGAGCTGACCTGTCTGGGACATCTCATGTAGGGCCAAAGAGCCCCTCCAACCCCACTACCCCCATGGGTGTGGCTGTCCTACCTGACGGGTATGTGCTCATTATTTTCTTAAGTCACTGGGAAGGGTAAAGTTATGTTTGGCATGGGCTATTGGCAAAGAAGGAAAAATATGCAATCTATTTTCAAGAGTTCTGTCAAAACTGTCTAAAACAAACAAAGCCCAGGTCTCCATGCTGGAAAAATTAACTTTCTCTGAGCCAGTTCTCCTCCCAAGAGTGCCGGACACATGAATATTGCATTTCGTTTCTTTCGATAGCCGAGGCAGCCTGGACACTGCCGTGCATGAGCAGCGCTGTGCTCGCTCCAAGTGTTATTGAAAATGTGGATGACGACAGCCAGCCCTTCTGCTGTTAAACATGAACACCACTCTCCAAGCTCAGTCTCCATCAGTGGTCCTCAGCCATCACCAGAGACTGCTCTCAATCATACTGGATCTGTTAGAAAGTTCTGGTGATGTTTTTGAACAGCCAACCTCAGCCTAGCTTGAATTGGAGTTGCTCTTGTGGAAAAATATCTACACTGTGCTCCAGGAGGAGAAGGGCATACAAAGAAAAAAGAGTGGGGCTGGGGGACTGAGGCATCCTTCTCCTAACGTAACCAGAGCAGCTTTGCATTTGTTTAACACAGGAATCGACAAAGTACGGTTCATCTGACCTGCTTCGTGTTTTTGTAAATAAAGTTTTATTGAAACACAGCCACACCCATTCATTTAAAGATTTTCTATGACTGAACTACAATGGCAGAGTTGAGTAGTTGAAAAGGAGACCTGCAGGCCCCATGAAGCCCCCAATACTTACTATCTGGTCCTTCACAGAAAAAAGTTCACTGATCTCTGGTTTCACCTAGCAGAATTCTGCAGATTTCTTTTGAAGGGGGTGCTCAGTGAGGATTAGCTGAACGAATGAAGGGGCTCATGGCTAAACACAGCCTAAACAGTGCCACCTAAATCATTGCACTTGAAGGTAGAATAATTAGCTGCATCTCAGCAGCATGCTGTATCATTTATATGGAAGTCTTAGGATGTTCTGCCAATTGTAAGACTCAAAGGCCGAGTGACAGATGGTCACTATTTGCTTGTCTTCATCACCTGCGTGGGTGAGGATGAGGAGTGAAATGGTTTGTCACAGGAAACTTACATTTGTGTGGCCAGGAACTCAACTCTCACCCAAGGGTAGAGTTTGGGATCCATAGCCCGAGAGATTAGCAAGGCACATTCTCAACTCAAGGTCCCTGAGCACATCTTGTTCCCTCTTAGGTCTCTACTTTCTTGTCAGCTCTAAGATCTAGGCCTCTCCTTCCCCACCCAGCACCCAGGTGAATGTTCCGTTCTTCTCACCTGCGCATCCAGTTCCATGATATGAGCCACCTTGTTCCAGCCAAAGCCCACGAACCTCCGGTCATACTCGGGGCAGTCACGTCTCACAACCACATACGGCTCGAAATCAGCCTCCCATTCCACCCGGTAAGGCGTGGTGGCAGTCCGCCACTTGGCGAAGTTTGTGGGTGCATGACCTTTCGTCCAGACGTGGTACCTGGGACACAGGGAGAAAAGCCACTGGGTTAAGGGAAGGAAGCTGAGCTTTCAAACCGCTGCTGATTTGGAAGAAGAAGAGCTACATGCTGATACAGTCGCTGGTGTGGGCTGGACTGTGTCCCCCCTCAAAAGCAACGTTCAAGCCCTAACCCCCAGTACCTGTGAAAGTGACCTATTTGGAAACAGGGCTTTGCACATGTAACCAAGTTAAGACGGCATCATAGCGGGTTAGGGTGGGCACTAATCTGTGCCCTTATAAAAGGAAAAATTGGACACAGAAACACACAGCAAAAATATGAAGTACAGATGTAGACAGAGAATGGAATGATGCATCAATAAGCCAAAGAATCCAAAGACTGCCGGCAACCACCAGAAAGAAAGCAGACAAGAACAAGGAAGATTTTTTTCCCCTAGAGCCTTTGGAGGAAGCACAGACCTGCCAACACCTTGATTTTGGACTTGTGGCCTCCAGAACTGTGAGTAAGATCCTGTTATGTGAAGCCACCCAGTCTGTAGTACCTTGTTGCGGCAGCCCCATGAAACTAATCCAGTTGGTTATCTACACCCTTCGCTAATGAGGAGATTCTCACCATGAAAAGGTAAGTGAACTTCGGAGGGGCTCTGTGTCACTTGTAAGGAGCCAGTTTTGGGTTGGCCTGCAGTATGGTTCTTCCTGCTAGGTCCCACTGAGGCAGACGTTTAAGACGGCCCTTCATAACCCTCACCCTGTAGAATGTCCTCCCCCTTGGAGCACAACCTGTAAGTATGGCATCACTCCTGGGATTATGGTACATTATATGGCAAAACGCATTTTTATAGACATAATTAAGGTGACTAAATCAGTTGACCTTGGATTAATTAAAAAAGAGATGATTGGGGTGGGCCTGACCTAACCACGTGACCCTTCAGAGCTGGGAGAAAGCAAAGAGACACGTTGGAGCTGCCATGTGGCAAAGAACTCGACTCTAAGAGTTGACAGTGGCCTCAGCTGAAAGCCAGCAGGAGAACGGGGACCTCAGGCCCACAGCTGCTAGGAAAGGAATTCTGCCACCAGCAGCGAGCTCGGAGGAGGGCCACGTACTCTAGCAGAGAACCGCAGCTTTGCTGACCCCCTGCATTCCGCCCTGGGAGACCGGAGCAGTCAGTCAACCATTCCCTGCCCGGACCTCCAGCCCCCAGAGGCTGTGAGATCATACATGTGTGCTGATTTAAGCTATGTTTGTGGTAATTTGTCACATAGCGACAGAAAATGAATATAACCATATAACCACAATAAAAATCAGCTAATATTTATTAACCACTTACTATGTACTAGGACTATTTTAAATGTTATGTAGATAGGTATTGTTTTAAAATCTTATAACTTACCCAGTGTCAAATAGCACATGGTGGAGCTGGGATGGAAACCGAGGCAGCCTGGCTCAAAGGCCAGGGGCCCTAACCATTTGCTGGGTTACCTCTCTCATCTGTCACTGTCCCCACTCTCTGGCCTACAGAACAAGTGCTTAATGATTATATGCTAAATTGAATAAATGAATGAATGAATGAGTAATCCAACAATGTGAGCAGCACCTACAACAGAGGCCCGTGAGCGGGATAGGACTGGAAACCACAGAGAGGTGGCAGGAAGCAGGAAGTGTCTTGTGAAAGACCAGACAGGGCCTAAAAGAAAGGGGTCAGGGAAAGTATTAACAGTTTCCAGAACTAGAAAGAAAAGCTTCATGAAATGAAAGCAAGACAGGAAGGTGGGAACCCAACAGCTCAGCTATAGGGAGAGAGTTAGTGGAAGTCCTGGGCTCCATCTCATCCTTGGGGAAGGCTCTCTAAAGCCAGGGGGACTCTAAGTGACAGGAGTGTTCCATGTGGCCCGTGGAGCAGGAGCAGCTCTGGCACAGAATGCAGCTGACTGGACATGCCCCGGACCCTCAGGGAACGGGCCCGTGTGGCTGAACAGGCACTGGCCAACACGTGGCCTTTCGTCAAGTTGTGTTGCTGGGTGACATGGCCAGGCTGGGGTAAGTCAGGGACTTGAATCTCAGCTCCATCAATGCAGCAACTTCCACCAAAGCCTAAATCACTTAAATGGAAGAAAAATGAAAGGTTGATCGATATGACTTTAATGGAGTGTGAAAAAGAGGGATATTGGGAGAGATGTCAGTCTTGGGTGTGATCCAAATATTAGGCCTAGAAGCAGTTGCTTTTCCCTTTGTGAACTTGCTGAACAGGCAGTCCGGACACCTGATGCCTTTGACAGAACTGGCGCAGCGCGGCTGATGTCTGTGAACCCACGTCAGGTTCAAAGCGCGGCACCGTGGAGCCACTGGGCCAGGGTTCAAATCCCACCACCAAGTGCCACTTAGGAGCTGAAGAACTTAGCAGAACAAAGTACTTTAACGGGGCTTTAATTTCCTCTTGTGTCAACTGGGAAAAATAATACCTACCTGGTTGCATTGCCAAGAAGCTTATATGAGAAAATGTAAAGTGCTCGCGTGGTACTGGCGTGCTGAAGGAATTCAGTAAGTGTTAGTTCCCTAACAGGCAGTTCAACAAAGTGGTTAAAAATGTGGTTCTGGAGGCAGCCTGCCTCAGTTTGAATTCTGCCATTCAACAGGTGCAGACAGGTTAATTACTCTCTGTACCTTTGTTTCAATAATAATACCTGCCTCACAGATTTACGATGATAAAGTGAATTAACTCACATAAAGTACTTAGAGCAGTCACTGATATAGATATAAAAAATATATATTTTTATATATATGTAATTCCTCCAAAACTGAGGACATTCTCTTTATCATTTCTCTTTGTTTGCCTCCCAGATGTGATGTCAATTGCTTGGTCTTGCTCTCAGTGATACCGATAGCCATTTTATTTGTCTATGGAGGCATCTTTAGAATCTAAACTCTCGGCCAATTATAATACAGAAAAGAAGGAAAAACAACAGGGAAGGGCTGGGACGGCTGCATCCCTTCTGTTGATCTGGCCGGGGGGGCGGGGGGGGACGGCTTCTGTCCGCTCAGCCTGGACACCGACAATGAGCCGAATGGCCGGGCGGCACAAGATGCGGTGAAGTCACAATTAACCTGCCATGAAAACAAGCCACAGACTGGAAATGACCTGAGGGACCTGTTGCCAGTCCAGCAGACGCTAAACTTCAGGGGTTGGTCTCTGAGACCGGCAATGACAGGTGGCACCCAGAAAACAGTGATGAGAGAGGTTTCCTGGGTATACCGTACACGCTGCCATTGAAGAGATTTGGGGCACTTTGCTTTGTTCTCACACTTGAGCATACCCCAAAATCATGACAACTGGAGTTTCTAACGCAGGAGGTCTGGGCAGGTTGAGACCTTGCATTTCTAACAAGCTCTGAAGGGATGTGGATCTCCTAGCCCGGGGAGAACATTCTGGAACCACTGCCCTAGAGGACTGGTCAGGGTGCAGTTGCTTTCTCATTCCAGGTGTGGTAGGGAGTAGGTTTTAGCTACTAGGAGCCTTAAGAGTTCATTACTTGGCAAGCAGGTGACAAAGGCAACTTCTTGGAGGGAAGGTTTGTAATTTGGCCCCTGGCATGGTGGCTTGCCAGCTGTTAGCCAGAGCAGCAATCACAGACACAGCAGGTCCAACCCCAGCTCTCGTGCCCAAGGACGTGACCTTGAAATGAGTTCTCAACTCACCTAGGGATGGAGATGGGAGGAAGGATGCCTTGACAAGGCGCCAGGGGTTCAGCCATCAGACTGTGGCATCTATGGGAGACTCAGACTAAGGTTCAGTCTCAAAGTCTCAGTTTCCAGAAGCAAGTTTTTACCCTGCATCTTCAAACAGCAGTAAGAAAATTCAGGGCTTGATCAGTGGCCTGGTGGTATTTTGGTTAAGAACACAGGCTCTGTGGTTCCTCAGACCTGGGCTGAATCCAGGCTCTGCCGTTCACTGCCTGTGTGTCACTGGGCAAGTTATTTAACCTCTCAGAGCCTCAGTTTCACTATCTGTGAAATGGGGATAATATTAATAGTGTCTGCCTCCCAGATTTATTGTGAGAGTTAAATAGGTAATCACAGAAGCTGGCATATGTTAAGCAAAATGGCAGTTGTCATTTCTGTCTGAAAAGAAGGCAGGCTAAGGTCGTGGGGATATTAACTCTTCCAGGTCATTTTCCAGAGTCTTACATAGAGGAGAGGGCTGGAGTTTGAGTCCTGCCTCCACCACTCCTCTGTGTATAATGTGAAGAACGATAACCTCTGAACTGTTGAATGAGTCACCTGCCTCACAGAGTGATTTTCACAAGAAAAAGTTTGAGAAAACCATCTAGAAACTTTACAGTAGTATGAAAACCCAAGTTATTATGACTACAATCTTTTCAATAAAAGTCCAGTGGCCTAGAAATGTCTGCTTCTTGGCTCAAAGGAAGGGTTGGCCATTCTTACACTGTTCCCAGTGGAGACCTCGCTTTAAAATCAGCAGGCACAGCGCCGGCTCCCTCCAGAGACTGCTCCATTAACCCTTTGCACGCAGATGTCTGAGTGTGACTCGACACAGTTAGCAAAAATTACAGAGATTAAAATTACTCTTTGAATGTATCAATAATTTGAAATATAAAAAAATCCAAATAAATAAGTTTATATGAAAAGAAAACTCCAGTTTTTTATTCTACTGCCGTGCTTTGTAAAATCTGGGGTATTTAAAATATTAAATCTTGAGTGGAATAAAGGAATGGAGAAAAAAGCAAGCGAGTGCAAAGGAGACCCAGCAGTACTACCCCTCTCCCACCCTGGTCTCCTGATTGCTACACTCAATGCCACAGGCCGTCCCCAGGGCGTGGAAGGCTGTGCATTCACACAGACTCCGGGGGCACTCTGGACGGCGACAGGGTAGCTCCCTCGATGTTCCTGCAGGACTAGGGGTCTGGGACATGAGGAAAATGAGGGTTCTGCTTACAACGGTCACACGGGCAATAGGAAAGTCGGCTGCCACATCTGCTGTGTGTGACTTTGGAGTCACCTTCGTGACTTTACGCTGTTGAAGCAACTGCCGCGTGTCCCAGGCCTTGGGCTCAGAGAACAGACCACTCACCCCGCCGAGAAAAAGAGAAACCACCACCGTGGCGCTAATGGAAAGAGTGAAGTCCACTTACCAAAGGAGTGAACGGACAAGCACACAAAAGAGAGAATTCAGAGCCAGGAGATGGGAGAAGGAACCTAAACTGAGTTTGGAAAAAAAGTACAAACGGAAACAAGCTTAACCTTCTTGCGCGGACATGCCTACCCTTCCAGCTGGACAGATACCATCTGTCATCCACATACAAATGAAGCACCTGGCGCGGGGAGGAGGAGAGAGAAGACACCAAGATTGTTTGGGGCGAGCGGTGCTATTTTGGCCTCGCCATAGACTAAGGCAGCATCAAACTTTTGGGCCAACAGCCTGGGCGTCTGGGTTTCCCGGGCGAGAGAAGGGCTCCGGGCACCCGCAAGGACGGCAGGGAGGGCCACTCACCTGAACGTGAAGAGGGTGCCCATGTCCAGCATCGACAGCAACTCCGCTTTCGACTTGGGGAAAGAGAGCCGGTAGCGCAGCGTCTCGAACGCGGGGACGATCATCGCTTTCTTGGTGTTGGCGAGGTCAAGCTGGATGACAGACTTCCTGGAAAGAGGGGGCAGGCAGAGAGATGGGGCCCCCGTGGCACCAGGCCCAGGGAGGCAGAGCAGCTCGCCAAATACCACTCGGGGGGCCAGAGTGGACCTGAGACCCTGCGTCCGGGAGGCAGGGAGCCGGGTCTTCCCGGAGGGTGGACGGGGAGCAGGCAGACGGGCCGGGCCACGGGAGCCTCCGGCGTGTGCTCTTGTCAGCCACGCACAGGGGAGGGGCTCACAGTGCTCACAGGGGCTGGAGCCCAGCCTGCCGGGTTCCCTGGGCTGGCCAACCACTCCTGCCGCACCACCGGCCACACAGGTGCAGGTGGACAGAAAGCCAATGACAGTCAGCAACCTGGGACTCCCAGGCCTCATCTCTGGGACTCCGCAACGCTTTGAATCCTCCAGACCCCGAGCCTCTACAGTAGCCAGAGCCCCTGTGCCGCCAGCATGGATAGGACAGAGCTCTGGTCCCCCCCTTGGTGGAAGGTTCCCCACGTCTCATTGATTGCCTTTGCGCCCGGCCTTCCGTTCTCCTCCTCCGAGACTCAGCTCCTGCCCTTCTGGATTTGTCTGCCATTTCTCAGCTCCGTGGCAGTCACTTGGAATGAACAAAAGGCTCATGGAGGAGCACAAAGTACGAGGCTCTTACTGAACACGGAGTGGACGTGAACCCTGGTGATGTCACTTGCGAGGCCTGCCATCCCGGGCAAGCAGCTCAGCGTCTCACCACCTCGGTTCCTCCTCCCTAAAACAGTGGCTATAACGTCTGCCTCCTGGGGTTGCTGTAAAGACCAAACACGGTAATATAACACTGCTTGGCACACCTGGCTCGGGCAGGCCTGCTGTGACGAGGGGTCACTATCGCCTTGCAGCACTGTCATCACCCCCTGGCCCGGTCTTCTATCGTCTCTCTCTGCCAGGCCTCCGGGACTCCTTTCTGGCCTCCTGCTCGGACCGCAGACGTCTGGGTCTCAGCACCGTCATGGGCTGTCTGCTTCTGCCTCCGCAACGGAGAAGGTGGCCACCCCGGGGTACTGTAGGCGCGGGGGACATTCCGACAAAAACAGGAAGCAGCAGCCCCGTGTGGCGACACAACTGCCCCCTGCTACGCTGCTGCGTTACTGAGGTCCCTTCACGCAACGAGACTTTGAGCCTGTGCACGAGCAGGGACTAGGGCCAGTCTGCAACGAGTAGCCTGCGATGAAGGAGGGACTCTGCGAGTCCAGGCCAGCGCGGGACTACTACAGGACAGCAGCCCAAGGACATCGGTGGGCTTGGTATCCCTGAATGGGGAGGGGAACCTGGGCCAGGTCAGAGTAAGGACAGTTTTCTGAAACCACCCTTGGTTAAAGGGTTTCACCAGCTCCCCGTGGAGAGTCGGTGGTTGAGAGATGGACTGGAAGTTCATTCTGGAATCCTCTGAATATCATTTGCACTTCCCTTTTCATCATTATGCGTATGTTAACTATACACCAAATGATACTAATACACAGTTCTCACCTCACTGTTCAGAGGAGGTTTGCAAAGGATGACAGCAAGATAGAAGATTGTGGCAAGCTGGCCTGGGGGCCAGAGGTTTGAGTCCACCTGTCCTGGCCTGCACTCCTCTTTGTCTGTCTGACGATGATGTCAGCTTTCAAACACCCACGATTCCCTCCTCCATGGCCAGGCATCTATATCAGCTGGCATTCTCTTTGATATCTATCCTTTATTAGATATAGGCGGAGCTGAGGCTAATCACCTTTCCCTCCGGAAAGGTGTGTGTATCTTACCTACTGACTCTGGGTGTTGGGGCTGGGACATATGGGCATACACGATATCCCTGGGCCAAGATGGCAAAGCCCCTGGGCCCCCTGGGGCACGGGGAAAGGTGTCCCTGCATTGGTGTGTGGTTGCTTTTCATTCAACGATCACTGACCGCCTATGATGTGCCAGGCGCTTGACGATACAGGGTAAACAAAGCAGCCCAAGCCTCTGTTACACTCTTGTTGTAAATGGTGAAGGATGCTAAAAGCCTAAGGACAAATCTCTCTAAATTGGAGCCCAAGATTGCATTTGCAGCTGATTATTTTAGGATATGAATGCTATAGAAACAGAGTGGAAGGCCAGGAGGGCTGAAGTAGGAAAAGAACAGGTAGAGTATATATCTGCACACGCATATACACAGGATAGATACAGAGATCTATGAATATGGACGTATGAAGTTACTATTATGTTCACAGTTATTACAGTCACTATTTCTTGGAGAAAAAGTCCTGCTAAAAACTAATTCCCCCTTCTATGGCCCTATACGTAGAAGCAGCTCCCACAGCTTCAGCTGCTCTGCCTGAACCCCTGGCCAGGACAGGGTGTTTAGGAGCAGACACTTGACCCAAGCTGAGCAAGTCAGTTTCTGATTCTTGCAAATATGAACAGAAACACAGAGACAGGTAAACCACAGAGGTGACCTGCCATGATGACGCAACACTGCTCTAGAGGCTTCTGAACTACTGCCGTGGAGGGTTCTGGAGCTACCCTGGTGTGTTAGTCTTGTGTATTGGTTTTTCTAGTCCTACTTTGATTCCATAGGATATACCACCCAACTGTTACTTGTTTTCCTTTGATTCTTTTTGTTTAAATTAATCTACCTAGCACTGCTTTCTGTTGCTTGTAACTAACCACCCTGATATAATGCAAGACCCGGAGTAAACGTTCAGCAACGTGCCTCGTTTCCCCCTGCACAGACAGCGTCGGCCTCTGCAGTGCTTTCTGCGAACTCCTTTAATCTCACTAAAATACAAGCTGACACAGAGAAGAGCTTGTCACCAGACAGGTCCACTTCAGACTCAGTCCAAGGAGGTTTCGAGACTGATGTCCTGAAAGGCTCTCATTGTGGAGCTGTTTCAGCAATAAGGTGGCTTCGGGGTGCAGACTCTGGGCACGTGTGCTGATGGAGGAGGTGATGCAGCCTGGGCCCTTCTGCGCTGTGTTCTCTTAGCACATCTTACCTCGGCTGGGGTCTGCTGACCTGGGGGTGGGCAATCTGCAGCCATCACGTACCTGGAAAGTGAGTCCTGCAGGGGACTGAGTGCTGCCCTGACAAGCTGAGTGACTCTGGGTCACTTCATTCATCTCTCTTAGATTGCCAGATCTAGACTATTCACACTGAAGCTTTGGGAAGGCAGTCTGGGGGAGTGGCAGTCAGACAGACCTGGCTTCTAGCTGTGACCCTACCAGAGCTGTCCTCTTGGGCAAGTCGCTTTAATCATTCTGAGTGTCAGAGTTGAGGTACTGGTAAAGTATGTTGGTGAGGAAAAGCACGGAGCTTGTGCACGTGCCTGGTGCAATGCCTAGCAGGCATTAAGCACTGGGTATGTGGTGCCTGGATGGTCAATTTTACCTGTCAGTGGGCCAGGCCATGGTGGCCAGGTGCTTGGTCACACACTAGTCCAGATGTTGCTATTCTGTGGATGTGAGTAACAGCTACAATCAGTGCACTTTAAGAAAAGGAGATGACCCTTGATGACGTGGGTGGGCCTCATGCAATCAGTCGAAGGCCTTAACAACAAAAACTGAGCTTTCCCAGAAAAGAAAGAATTCTGCCTCAGGACGGGAACCTAGAAATCCTGCCTGAGTTTCCAGCCTGCCCTACAAATTTCAGACTTGCCAACCCCACACCTGAGTGAACCAATTCCTTAAAATCCCTCTCATTATATACTGATATGTGTATATCTGTCTATATACCTATAGATAGTTTGGCATCTATAGGATGTATAGATATACTCTCTGTATCTCCTGTTATTAATAGTTCCATTTCTCCAGAGACCCCTGACTGATACGTTGCCTTTACTTCTGGTTCAAGATCCCTGCAAAAACATTTACAAACCTATTACAATATTTTGGACTGAGGAACCATTAATATTAAAAGAAATCACAGGTATCTACCTAAGTAACTCATGACCCTGCTGATACAACAGAGAACCCGTCAAATATTAATGTAAGTGACCTGGAGCCAGACAGGACCAGCTTCAAAACCTGGCCACGCCTTTTCCTGGTGACCTTGGGTGCACTGTGCAAGCTCTCCTGGTCACAGGTTCCCCATCTGTAACTGGAGAAAATAACTGCTCATCTCTTATCTCCCTGGGGTCCCAGAGCCTAATGCAGTGCCTGACTCACAGTAACTGATTAATCAACGAGCCCCCCTTCCCCTGTCACAGCTCAGCTTACTGGTGTGCCCACGGCAAGAGAATGGGCGAGCGAGCAGGAGGGTTAGGAAAAGACAACATACTGCTCACGACACGGCCAGACTTTCGGCTTGCTTGTCTACGGAAACAGAGCTCATTAGATCTCGGTCTCCAGCCAGCTAGCTGAGGCCTTCTTTGTGTCAAAAACAATTCAGGTGTTCCTTGCAGAGGGCTGACCAGCGGGGCAGCTGTGAGCTGGGTAGAGTCTGCCTCCCAAGTCCCCCAGGCAGCTCTTCTGTGTCACTGTTCTCCCGAGCCCCTCCTCTCAATCCACTCAAGTGTGCAAATAGTTCCTGTCCTTTGTGCACCTGGTAACAGCGGCGAGGAGGGGAGGGACGAGAGTGAGTAGCCAACGTCCTGTGCCCATAGCACTGCGGAGCTGGGCGGAGCCCGCAAAGCCACAGAAACAGCCGGGAAGGGCAGGCCGCCAGTGAGGTGGGCATCCCTGGTGCTTGGAATTACCCAACGCCAAGAGTAATCTCTCTCACACGCACCTCATTTCATCCCCATCCTTTCTCCTGGAGACAGGTCTCTGTAACCAGGGAAACAGCACAGGCTGCTGGCACAAAGAGATTATGGGATGTGTCCCAGAAGCAGGAAGGAGCCACCACGCACTGCACGGTCCTGAACCTTCACCTCCTCGGGGCCACAGTGGCGAGCCAGGCTCTGCCGGGGTCTGCATCCTGGCTACGCCTTTACCTCTGTGTTCTGCAGTTTCTCTCCCTGCAGAACGGACGTGGTGATGGCTGCATTGATCTCTGAGGGTGAGTCCCATACATAACTG